CAACAACAACAACAACAACAACAACAACAATAATAATAATAATAATCCTAAACCACAAACTTTGCCCTAGCATCTGAACAGATGGCAGCATTTATATTTTAGCAACATTGCAATATGCATCAGTCAAGGCTACTGACCATCCTTAACCACACAGACTGATGTCATTTTCCATTAGATAATATAGTTCTGCATATTTTAAGCTTGAACATTTATTATTTGTTCTCTTTTTTCATTGTATCGTATCTATATCTATAGATATAGATATTTGAGAAATAGATATAGATATAGATATTTGAGAAAGCAGCACATGCCTGATGCAAGGAAGTCATTCCAGCAAAGATGTTCAAAAATATTTAACATTCCACTGTTATTTTAGGACACTGCGTTCTGACCTTTGAGCTGTTTTCTGTTTTATTGCATGCTAACATTCCCAGCAATAGAAAATACTATCGAAGAGCAACTTGAAGTGTAAAGAAGAAGGGAAAATGCATGAGATACAGTTCTTTACACAGAGTTGAGAAACCTATTGCTGTATTAGAGCTTTCAGTTTCCCTTTTCACTGACCATGGAGTCCAGGCCTATTGAGTATCTTAGTCTATCAATACCTGGAGGACTGCAAGTTCGCCACACCTGATCTCTGCAGTTAAATATGAGATAGACTGAGACCCATTACTGCACTTCTATTGTAATAGCTTCTCTTAAATATGTTGGGATTAGAGCTCCTAGAATTCTCAATCTGATGAGAAGCGGTGGGGAAACTGATGTAAATATCTCCCAAAGGCAGAAACGGAATCACATAGAATCAACTTTTAGCCAGGATGCTGGCATGAAACACCTGAATGCCTGGAAAAGGAAAGTTATCTTGCCAACAATTCTATCATACCTGAGTAGCAGCTGCTCTAGAGCTTCTTCAAATGTTGGTCTTAGGCTGACATTGATCCAGAACTGAGGATAATATGAATAACTAATGAAGGTACTCCTATTGTTCACATTGTGATAAAACTTCATGCCATGTGCCTTTTGCCATTCTTGAAGGGTTTCATTCACTCTCTCTATCAGGTAATACATCATCCCTCTGTTAGTGGAATCACCAATAAAAAGAACCTTTAAAGGTAAAAACCACACATTTAATGTCAGGAGTTGATGGATCAGTGGAACTCAATAGACCGTAAGTCTGCCGTTTTAGTTTAATGCTGGTTGGTGGACCAGCAGTAGACACCATAAATAAATTACAGCAATTTGCATGATGCAGGGTCATAAATGTACAGGAAGTCCTCATTTACTGACTGCCTCATGTAGCGACCTTTCAAAGTTACAAGGGTGTAAAAAAAAATTAGCTTTGCAACCAGTCTTTGCATATATGGCTGCCTCAGCATCCTGCAGTCACCTGATCACCACTGGGCGCTTTGCAACCGGTGAGTATTTATGACCATTGCAGAGTCCCGGGGTCACATGATCACCATTTGTGTGCTTTTCAGCTGGCTAACAGAGTTAATAGAGAAGGCAGAAGTAAAATTGTAAATTGCAGTCATGTGATGTTTCACTTAATGAGTGTAGCATTTCACTTAACCGAAGAGGAAGTGAGGTTGTAAGCCCATTGTGGTCACGTGAATTTGCTCTTAATGACTGAGTTGCTGGTCCCAATTGTGGTCGCTAAGCAAGGACTACCTGTAGTTTAAATATGCAAGCCTGTTTTTCAGATACGTATTTCCTAGTATTAATTTTAACAAGGCTAAAAGGACTGCTGAAACTTATACATGATCTGCCATCTGTAATTGCAAATTGTTCTTAATACCTATCTGAAATTACATCAGATGGCTGAAGGGAAAGTGAAGTTCTCTAGTTTAGGAAAGTGTGAGGTGGATTCTGCAGTCACTGTACTCATGATGGATAACACGTATTTGGATTCCATGACTTCAGACACAAGTCTCTTCCAGTTAGATATAAAGCAGTGATAAGCCGCTGGCTTATCTCCCAGCATCTAGCCTGGCTGGGTGTGAATATTTGTTCAGACAAAGGCAGTGGTTGGGAATAAGATATCTCTACTCTACATGTTATATTTTAAATTATATCCCAATGGCTGGAGGTGGGCTACTGCCAACTCATCTTTGGTCCTCTGAACCCCCTTTAGAATGATCTGAATACATAATGGTATTGACCAAAAATAGCACTGGAATAGGATTTTTTTTTTTAAGGCTCTAATGCTATTTCTAGGAGGATATGTGGAAAAGGGCCAGACAACAGTACATACTGGCTTGTGGGGTAATTGATTCTAACCCCCCGCCCAGTCATCCTGAATTTTAGAGTCTTTTTATTTTTATAGTCTTTTTATATAGTTTGATTTTTTAAAGCTAATTTAATGTGGATAGTTATATTTTTAATTGTTTTTGATGCTTGATTTTAATTGTGCGCCGCCCAAAGTCACCACCCAAATTTAATAAAATAAAATAAAATAAAATAAAATAAAATAAAATAAATAAAATAAAATAAAATAAAA